ATGCACAGAGACTTCCTGTGCAAGACATTCCTGTTGACAAGCAGATGGAGCTGTGCCGATGGCAGCAAGAGCCTTGGAGTGGGAGGGGGGTTGCCGTGTGGAGACCTATGCCAGTGCAAAGGTGCTTCCTCCACCACTGGATCCACAAGACTTCCACCCACTGGCCTATCATCTTCCTGCACTCAGCATCATTGCATGTGTTGCCTGAGTCTGAAGAGGAATTTATAGACTGGTATCAGACATAAGGGTTAATATCAGACTTATGGATTTGATCTGGATGGGGGTGGTTTCTTAATGTACAATTGCTGTTTGATATCAAGTTCTCTCTTACACCCGTATGAGTGTCTCTGGATTCGTTTCTCTAGCCCCCTTGGAATCACAAATACCCCATACCAGAACAGTGGGTTTCCAATGAATACATTCTGTATGCGGGTTTAAGGAGCCCTGCTGCATGTGTTGGGCTGCTGACCACAAAGGCAGCAGTTCAAAACCACTCAGTGCTCCTTGGGAGAAAGACCCGGCTTTCTACTTCAGTAAAGAGTTACTTTCTACTCCAGCAAAGAGTTACAATCTTAGAAACCCACCGGAGCAGTTCTCTGTCCTCAGGCTCCCGATAAGTTGGTATCGACTGGATGGCAGTGAGTTTTCAGTAGTCGGGTTTGCTCTTCGGTCACAGAGAGGCCACCTTGATTTCCTGATTTCCTACAGCATTGTCTGCTGTCATGTAGGCTTCATGACCCCCCTCGTCTGCCATGGCTGTCTGCCTCAGGTGCGACGGCTGCACACTCGAGACGTTTGTGCTCTGCGTCCTGGGCTCCAAGGCCACACTCCCTCCAGAGGCTCTCCAGGAGAATCCTTCCTGGGCGCCCTATTTTGGTACAGCTGGACCCTGGCTTGTGGCTGTATCAGACTTCCAACTCTGTCTTCATGTGATACTTGTCCTGTGTCTCTCTGTCCTAGGCTCCTAGCATTGGGCTGCAACAGAAAGGGTGTTGGGTCGACAGTTCTGCCACCCTGAGGAGCATCTCTGAGTCAGCACCACGGAGGGGGAGCGGGGTCTGCTCCAGCGTGACCTCGAGTGAACAGAGAATAGCTTCAAGGACCCCCTTCCCAAATGAGGCCATGACATCAACATACAGTCTGGGGGGCGTGGTTCAATCCATGATACTCTCCTCACCTCCCCCACCACCTTTCTCTTAGGGGGACCCCAGCGTGGGCGTCAGGACCCACTAAATCCAGTGGGAACTCATCTTAGGACCCTCACTACATCTGCAAAGACTCCCATTCAAGCAGCATCAGGCTCAGACCTGAACATAAATTTGGGGGGGGAGACACTCATAGTGACCCTATAGGACAGGGTGGAGCTGTCCCTGTGGGTCTCTGAGGCTGTAAATCTTTCTCCTTGGAGTGCCTGTTGGTTTCAAACCGCTGACCCTGCAGGCAGTTCGCCCTCCATGTAACCCTCTGCCCCACCAGAGCTCCTTGCCCTTGGTTCTGGGGCACCTCACATTTCCACAAGTCCACATACCATGGCAGAGCACTGGCTTCTTGGGACACATTTTCATCATGCAGATGTGTTTTGTTTTTATTTTACTTCCCTTATCGTCACCTCCAGACACCACAGGAAAGCATGAAGCAGTGTGTGTTCCCAGGAGAGCTCCCGGTGGGAGTTTGCAGTCACCACCATTCCTGCAGGGGCAGTGGACTATTAACTGGGCTCCTCTAGCCAAAGTCTCAACCCCCCACTGAACTCCCACCGTCCTGAGTGGGTCTGGGTAAGAAGGTGCGGGAAGGTAAGGGCAGGATTCCCTCGTGAGTCATTGTGAACCTTTATTGGAATGCCATCCTGCTGGGACTAAAAGGAGCCCTCTGGGAAGCAGGAGGCAGAGTGGAGGGCGTCCTCTGTACCCGAGATCGCGACCCAGCGAACCTCCTGCATCCAGAGGATAGCAATGACATCGGAGGGCAGCAGCAGAGCCGTTGCTCTGGGGCACGGGGCTGAGCTATGGAGTGGGTACCTCTGGGCACTTCACTGGGGAGTGGGTTGGACTTGCCGACCCCCGGATGTGCGGCTGAGCGCCTTTGGGTTGTGGCTCGTGGAGTGGGGTGCCTCTGGGCACTTGCTCTGGGAGCTTGAGCTGAATTCCTGCGGGCTAAGTTGACAGTGCAGTGGCATGCATGCCGTTGTAACTTGCCCTGATGCACAGCCGTATCATGAGCCGTTCTCACTTGCATTATGACCCTGATAACTTCTGTAACAAACCTTTTTACATGAATATTGTCTGGGTTCTGTGTAGCCATTGTCAGGGATATTAGAACCTAAAAGGGAAAGTAGGGTGTGTTGAGCATGAAAGGTCAATTTCCCAGGTGTCACCATGGACAAGGGTGTGGGCTTCTGAGGAGACAACAAACAGCACCAGAGAGCTCACCATGACCTCAGGGTGCTTTACTAACATTCCCCAGACAGCGTATCCGCTCTTCACTATTTCCGACTGCCATGGCTCTGTGTTCCTCGTCAGGAAAACGAGTCTTTTCATTAGACAACACAATTTGAGAATTATAAACCTACAGGTGGTGCTGTGAAGGAGCCCTGGTGGAGTAGTGGTTCCACATTGGGCTGCTAACCCCAAGATCAGTGGTTTGAAACCACCAGTTGCGCCGAGGGAGAAAAAGGAGGCTTTCTACTCCTGTCACATGGTACAGTGTGGGATGCAAAAGGGTTTTTCCCCAAGTTGTCTCCCCCAAATATATGCCAAACCTAAGACGCTGCTTGCTGCACGTGGTGAACCACTATACACTTGGAGGTCAATGCAAGGTGGTCAGAGGTTATTCTCCCTAAGGGTGATCAGCCATCTAGAGCAATCAGACTGTACAGTCTGTCCTACCCTAGGTAGGGCCCACTCCCTGCTGATAAGGATAGTGGATTGGTTGAGCCCACTCAAGGATGATCAAGGTTAGGCTGCTATCTTGAGTCTAGGATCCCCCCCCCCCCATCTTGTCACACATATACCTAGTCCTGCTCCTTCCTATTGCATGTACACTCCTTGCTCATCCCCTTCCTCTGAAGCATATGCATATTGTACAGCCCTTCCTGTTACATATGTGGTTACCTATACTCAGGGGGGCTTGCAGGCCCCTAAGTAAATATAGACCTTGGTCAGAAATAAAGAGTATACGCTCTCTCCTCCCTCCCCACCCTCCCCTTCTTCTGTGCGGACCTGGCTGCTGAGTGCATGGTCGTCCGGGAGGTGAGTCATACCATAAAATGTATGACTCCTTTAGTTGACCTTCTCTCCTACCTCTCCTAGTCTCTAGGACCTTACTATGATCCTTACATATTATAACCGGACTATTGCTCTGACAACCCCCACCTCACCCCCGCCCCCGTGATTGTTAGAGGCCGACTGCTCTGACAGTACAGCCTTGCCTTGTCCTTCAGGGTCACTGTGAGTCAGACTGACTAGATGGCAGGGAGTTTGGTACCGTATATACTCGAGTATGAACCTACCCTAATATCAGCTGAGGCACCTCGTTTTACCACAAAAATCGCATTAAAAATGTGCTGGAAAACCCAGTTATACACGAGTATATACGGTATTTTAGTTTTTGGTAGGATGGTAGAGTCAGCACTGGACTGCTAACAAGGTCAGTGGTTAAAAACTCACCAGCCATAAAGATTCACACTCTTCAAACCCTAGACAGGGTCTGTGGGAGTAGGGATCGGCTCTGAGACGGTGGGTTTTCAGGCTCGCCCATACTTGTCAGGAGTCTTGGTGGTGCTACAGGTTAAGCACAGAGCTTACTCGGTTAAAATTTACACAATATGAACTATGAATTATACCGTGCTGAATATTGTGCTATATTTTGTTTCACATAAATCAATACATGTGCCTAAAGCTATAGTGTGTTGATATAGTTTACGTATCATAAGTATGACATTTTAGAGTACTAGACTAATGTAGTCCATCTACGATAATTGAACATATTAGTATACTGATAGTATTATGCATGATTGATATAGTGGCATGTTTTGATTTTTATGCTATAAATAGCATATTGTACAACTTTATTAAGTTGAATGGGAAATTACTTAAGGGCTCTTCAAAAAAGAATGAGATGTTCCCTCTTATTTAAATTCTGTTTTTCCAATTGCTTTTTCATAGCCCTCTATATTAAAATTTTACTGAATACTTTTAATAGACTTTTATATGCTAAAAGCCTATCTCAGAGATAGTGTGGGATACCCTTTACAATGCCAGAATAGATCCACTGTTGCAATTAAAAAAAGACTGAGTCTCAGTTATACCCCGTCCTCTCAGGGTATGAGCAGAATTGAGTGGTTAAAATACCTGGCTGCAACGTGAAAGGTGATTGGTTGGGACTCACAAGTCGCTGTACAGGAGAAAGATGTGGCAGCCTGTTTCTGTCGAGATTTCAGCTGTGGAAGCCCTAGGGGGCAGGTCTGCTCTGTCTTACAGGGATGGATTTGTCGGCAGTGGGTGGGTCAACATTGTGCACTAAACTAACTTGTCAGGCCTGAGACAGCTGACAGAGTGGATGAGATCAAGTGGTGGGTTCGCTGTGTCCCCCAAAAGGGCATGCTGGGGGTTCTAACCCCCGAGTACCCGTCTCTGTGATCTTGTGTGGAAGTGGGGTCTTTGACAGTGCTACCTGCTAAGATTGCTCATCCTGGAGAAGGGCAGGCGTGGCAAAGGAGGAGAGACCCACAGGGAAGAGGGCTGGTGAGAGCAGAGGCAGATCGCAGAGATGTGGCCCCAGCCAAGGAGCACCACGGGTCACTGGCATCGCCAGGGGGAGGTGAAGCCTCTCCCTCAAGGCCTCAGGACAACAGACGCCACCTTGAGAAGACTTCCGCTGCAGCCTCCAGAACCGGCAGAGTAGCGTTGTTCCTATGAGCCACCCCCAGCCACGGTGGCCACACAGCTCTCTCTCACAACACCCACGATCCCAAAGAATCAGCACACAGCTTTACCACGAGAGAAAGAATCAAACATTTTATTTCCCAGAAACATTCTCTTAAATATCCGCGCTCACGTCATGCCCTGCCAGCCAGTTCCGCCAAGCCCTGGCACTGAGGGCGCCTGCACTCGGCACAACGCTGGGTATCTTTGGCATTTTCTTCCCTTAGTTTCGTGACTTGAAGAACCTGTCTTGTACAAAAGGATGTTGGTTTACAGAAAAATAAGCATATAAATCACTTATTAATCCCAAAATGTAGTAAATAGCATAGCAAAAAACTCATCAAATCCGTCGTGTTCACGCCTACGGCATGCAGGGAAACCAGCTCTCGGACACGAAAAGGCGGGTCCCAGGAAGGTCCCCGACGACGCGTCTCTGCCAACTCTGCTGCAGAAAGCCCTCATCTCCTTCTGGTCTACAAAACCAGTGCTGTTCAGGAAAAGCTCACCGCGATCCGATCGTGAGAGAAGGAACGTCCAGACCCTTCAGGGTACCCGGGAGGGGGTGGGACACTGGCCCCTGGGTAACGGGCACACGTCGAGAACGGAAGCTTCATGCACAACAAGCGGGTGTTTGGGTGTCATGCCCAGGTGGGAGCAGCAACAGACACGGATCTGCCCCCTGCCTGGGCTGGACCAGGCTGCTTCGGGAGAGAGTCCAGAGCCGGCCCTTCCGAACCCTTAGGACACCTTACAGCTTGGCCTGGTGCAGTGTCTGGGTGGGCTCTGGGGCTGCCGGCTGGACTTGGCCTTCCGCAGACTCCTGCGGTGCGCGGAGCTGGCTGTGATGGAGTAGGAGCGGCCATGCATCATCCTGGCATTGAGGCCGTTGGCCATGGAGAAGGACTTGAGGTGGCTTCTTAAGGCGACGGGGAGTGGGAGCTTGTCCACCAGGTGCACAGGGGTGCAGGACACGATGGCGCGGCAGCACAGGTCCTGCAGGCTGAGGACTGGGGGCGGGAGAAGGCAGTCAGCTTGCTGCGCTCCCCACGGCCGGTGGCCACTCACCCAGCTCTCTCTCCGCTCCCGGGAACCCTCTGTGAGGCGTTGAGTGGACTGAGTCTGGAGCCTGGCCACACTCCCGACAGTCCCTGCCCCCACCCTGCGAATTCCACTGCCCCCGAACTTGAGACGTCAGCTCATCCCTCCCCCGAACCTTGAGGGTGAGCTGGCTCTGAAATCAACCATTGCCTCCAGGTTTGGAATGGAGCCTGGGGCTGGTGACCCGTCCCTGTCCCCTGTCCCCCGGCAAGCGCACCTTTGCTGGGCCTCCAGAGGCGGTCCATCCCATGGCGCAGCAGCACAACCCTGGCCAGCTCCGTGAAGGACTCGGTGATGTTGAAATTGCACAGGGGGCTGACCTCGAAGAAAGTCACGCCCAGGCGCTCTGCGTAGGCCCGAGCCTGCTCCGTGGGCACCTGCCGCTTGAAGGCCAAGTGCAGCCGGTTCCCCACCAGGATTTTGGGGACACCAGGGGCGTGCTGGGGGCAAAAGAGAGGCAGATGAGTGGGTTCTGTAGCCCTGGGACGGGCACCTGACGGCTCACTCCCAAAGGGGCTGACCGCTGCGGGGTTACCCGCTAACTGAGGGGTCCCACGGGGCTCTGGAGACAGTGTCAACAGGTCCTACCTCATCAATCTCCTTAATCCACCGATCGATGCCATCAAAAGACCAGCGGTTGGCGATGTCGTAGACTAGGATCACACCCTGAGGGGAAAGGGTGTGACAGACAGGGAGGGGCCTGACCAACGGGAACAACCCCTTCAGCACAAAGGGCCTGTTTCACTGCTCCATGAATATGCTCATAAGATCCCATAAGCTAATGGGCGGGCTGGGGGCTAAGACTCACCCTTCACACACACCCGCCACTCTGTGGACATGGAGTACAGGGCACGGCAACAAAGGCTGCCTCCAGGGGCCAAGGGTGCACACACCCACACTCACGTGCTGACACATGCTCAAAGCAGACATCCCACACAAATGCATGCATAGGCACATGCTGCATAAAGCCACTCCCCACACGCCAGAATGCATGAACATAGGCACACACACACAGGCATGTGCAAATGCACACACCTACTCCCAAAGCTAAGGAAGGCTGATGCCACCAAACACAGCCCAGCCCCCTCTCCAACGCTAACCCGGATGTGCACAAACACTCTCCCTCTCCCCGTGGAAATCGCCAGTTAAGCCCTTCAAATGAGATGTATTCAAAGTCACCTCTACCTCCACGGTACAGGGCCTGGCATGTTACCTGCGCGCCCCGGGAGTAGGAGCGGAAGATGGTGCAGAAGCGCCCCTGCCCAGATGTGTCCCTGCAAAGACACACAAGCTCATTAAGCTCTCCCATAATCTGCAGGGACCTGGGTGCTGGGATGGACCCCTAGGGCCCTTCTCTCCTAAAGTTGAGGCTGCAGGTGGAGGGTGGACTTTGACCACAGATGCCCAGGGAAGCTGCCTGTTGATGGTGGCGCCCTGCATCTGCACCGGGCCACGCTCTGCTTGTCCAGGGCTGGCTGCAGGTGAGCAACGAGGCCCTGCTGCTCGTCTTCCTTACTGGGAACTGGCCTAGCCTAGGGCCACTTGGACTCGGGAGCCAGGGCGGGGGCTCCGACCATCCCCGACGAGGTGGGGAGCAGCCCCTCCACATCAGACCCACTAAGACTGCCCGCAGGAATCTCAGTGGGTCCACTAATTGCGGGACATCTGGGGTCAAGGGGCGGTGAGCGCAGCACGCGGAAAAGCCGGCCTGCGGCCTCACAAAGGCTGATGGGCAAGCCTGGTGTGCATGTGTGCCGAAGGGCGGTGCGTACCCGTGCACCTGTGCAGGTAAGAATGGGAGAATGTGCAATCTGTGTACATGCAGGAGGCCCCCATGATTCCACCCTCAAGGCCCAGCTAGACCCTGTGGCTCAGGTGGTGAGGGTGACCCTCCAAGGAGGATGCTGGTGACTTGACCCAAGTGGCGGAGCCCTCCAGGAGACCCCATGCTCACCAGAGCTGCAGCTTTACACGCCGGCCGTCCAGCAGGATGGTTGTGGTCTTGTAGTCGATGCCTGTGAAGGAAGCGATGGCCTGGCTGCAGAGCATGTCCACTCGGCTGCTCTCAGTGCAAACGTGTCGAGGAGGGAGGGAACCTCTGCGGTGTGGCTTTGGGACACACAGGGCCAGCTTGGATCCCTGCCTGCCAGGCCAAGCCCCTGGCCCACAGACAGGCCCAGCCTCACCCACAGCCTTCTCTCATCACTGACTGGTTTCATCCCTGAGGTGAAGGCCAGGGGTCCCCTGTACTTGCAGGTCCCTTAACCAGCCCATGCAGCCTCTGGCCTCCCCAGTGCTGCCCAGAGGGGAAGGAACCACAAAGCAAGAGGGCAGGGTGGCCCTCATGACCCAGGCAGGAGACCAGAAGCGTGGCTCTCTGCCCCCGGGACCTGCAGTCTGTGCTATTGTGGCAGGCAGCCAGTGTGAGGGGGCGTCTGGCCCAGTGGTGCCCCCTCCTCTGTGGCCTTTCTCTCTGTTCTAGTTTTAATTTCTCCACCCCACCTACCCACAGTGGGCATGTATTTCTTCTGAAGGGAAAAAAGCACAGCAGTATTAAAAAAAAAAAAAAAGGAGATTTAAAAAGCCGGACCCCACCTTCCACCAGAAACTAGTGTTGCTGCTCTGAGAAGCCATTGGAGCTCACCACGGCTGGCCTGCAGGGCTGGGACCAGTCGACTGCACTGCCCAGGCAGTCGGTCAGAGACCCAGCACCCCAAGAAGCATCCCTGGGAGAGCAGGCGAATGGCACCCTCCTGAAAGACTGAGGCCACTCAGGGCCATGCGAGTCCAACCTGCTTCCTCACCCAGCCCAGTCAGGGTGGCTATGTGGAATCTGACCCTCCATTCTCTGGTGGGGTTCAGCCCAGTCAGGACCAACCTGAGCACCTTCTGGGAAGCAGTCTCACAGCCGCACCACCAGGGATCCTTGGGATGTGGCCAGGCGGTGACTGGCCCATGTGCCAAGGTGACCGCCCTTCGGACAGAACACACCCTCTGCCGCAGGACCCAGCACAGCCCAGCACACAGCCGGCAGGAAGGGGCCGGCACCAAATGATTGACCTCACGCTGCTTAGAAAGATCTAGAATACTTACCCTTGGTCCCCAAAGAAAAGCCTCGCCTGAATGCCCTGCACTCAGGATGCACTCTCCCTCCCCCGAAAGGAGTGCTGAGGGCACACAGTGAGCAGGGGTGGGCCGGGCAGCACGCTGCCCAGTTTGGGGTGGCATGTGCCAGATCCCAGCAAGTATGTGGGTCTCTGTCCTGTGGTGCTCTGCGGCTGAATGGGCAGGCGCGTGGGCGTGCTGCATTCCCCAAATAGGAACAGGACTGTCTGATGAAAAGCGAGCCACCAAACGGCTTCTAGGAACCCCTCAAAGTCAGGCAGACAGAGGGAGGGCCGGGAGAGGTCGAGGAAAGGATGTCACGGTTAGTCAAACAAGCAGGGGGAGAAGGAGGCAGAATTTCTGCAGAAGCCCAACATCCGACCAGAGGGGGTCTCGCAGCACAGAGGGCTGCTCAGGAGGGTGGGGACGGCTGTGGAGGAGACAGAGCTCTGGGCCATCCAGTCAGGTCTGACTCACAGCCACCCTGCGGGCACAACAGATTGCCCCCGCGGGTTTCCCAGGCGGTCAATCTTTCTGGAAGCAGAAAGCCTCCTCTCTCTCCTGAGATACCCAGAGCTCCACTCCCTGCCCCCGAGTCCATTCAGGCTCATAGCGACCTTCTGGGGCAGGATAGAACTGCCCCTGTGAGTGTCAGACTGTCTCTGTTTACGGGAGGAGAGAGCCCTGCCTGTCTTCTGCGGAGGAGCTGGAGGTTGTGCTGAAGGGCCGACCTTTTGGTTCGCAGCCCGGTGTGTAACCACTGCACCACCAGGGATCCTGGCTACACTCCAGTGGGGTGCTGTGCTGTGACAGTTCACGGGGAAGTTCGGACACTGGTGGTTGAGGAGCACTGCTGCTGGTCTGGCAGATTCAGGAAAACAGGCTCACGCAGACTGGAACAGCCGGCAAAACGGCGGGAGCCGGTCACCAGGGAAGGAGAGGATGTGCGTGCGGCCTGGAACCTGGTGCCAAAGGCCCATCGAAAGCCTCAGAGCTGCTCTGCCCTCTTTCTGAAGAAGCTGTGAGATGGTGCACTGGGCAGGGCAGGAAGCAAACAAGAGAAACGCTCTGCGGAGGAGTTGGGAGGTGTGTGTGGGGGGGGGGGGCAGGAGGTGGAGACCGCTGGGCAGAGGGAACAGGGACTGTGGCACAGGTGGTCCAGGCAGCCCTGGCTCTGCCTTCCCTCTGCGACCAAGGTTTGTGGAGCAGCCTCAGGAAGACCCCAGCCAGCCCTGAGAACAGAACCACTGTCAATCCACTCCCACAGCACTGCAGCCCCCCACCTACCCATGAGGGCAGAACCGGCCCCTTAGGCACCCCTGACTCTCGGTGACCCTGGCCCATGTATGGGCTCATCTCTCGCCAGGGGGTGGGGGGGCATCGCCCTCCCGGGAGGGAAATGGCGCTGCCCTCCAGGGAGCGGCTTGATGAAGGGCTCCCACGCCAACCTGCAGGTGTTGTCAGGGGACTGGGAAACAACCGGGAAGAGCGTGTGGACAAATTCTCCACGCTCGTAGTTTAAGGAGTCTGGGGAACCGAGGCGCTCCTGGAGGGAGGCCTTCATGCTCCTGGGTTGGAGATGAATCTCAATCACATTCTCCTAAGTAAAAGTTATCCTTCATAAAGTCCCCCTAATAATGCCAGTTTCAAAGCGCCCCTTGCAAGCACATGGTTACTACACTATAGGCTTGAAGGTTATCTCCTTGAAGGCCACTCGCTGTCTTCCAAGAAAGCAATTACAGTAGACCCTATTGTCTGTCCCACCCTGAGCAGGGCCCACTCCCTTCTGATAAGGATCATAGATTGTTCCCCTGGAGAAGAGCTCAGGGACACTTAAGGTCAAGCCAGCTCAGAGATGGCCAAGGTTAAGCTGCCATCCTAACTCTAGAACCATTCCCCGCCCCCCGCCCCCACATCTTGTTACGTGTGTACCTTTCTGCCACATGTATGCCTCTAGTGTCTCCCCTTCCTACTGCGTGTACACCCCTCGCTCGTCTCCCTCAGGTTATGTGTATGGCTCTGGGACCTCCCCTTCTTGTTACATGTGTGCTTACTGGGGCTGGCTGACAGAGATTATATCAGCCTGTTAGGAGAATTCATTACCCACCTCACTCTGCTGAGAGGTGAGGCCTTCTATGTCTTGTCTGTTGTTTCGTTCATTTACCCTTCAATTACACAACCGCCCCCTAGGACCCATTCAGTTATGGAGGCTGGTCCCCCACACTGATGACTGATGGTGGTGGGGGGGCACACCAGGGGCATACCCCAGAACAGGGAGATGGCCTTCGTGGGTTACAAAGAAGACCCTCTTGGCTGGCCAGCTTCCCAAGGCATGGGGCTTTGTCCCAGAGCCTGGGGTGGGGGTGGGGGTGGGGGCCTGGCTCAGCAGGGACCTTTCCCAGCTCTCCCTCCTCTGTGACCACCTGAGAGTGGACGGACGGACGGACGGGGCATTTTCAGGTCAAGAGGCAGACCTTATGAACAGGAAAACCCTTAGGAATAAATAAGCACAAGAGGGCACTTCCCACATGGACTGGGCCAGCCCACCACCCGAAGCACTCCCGCCCCCCATCTCTGAGGCCAACACAGGGGGTTGCTGTGAGTCAGCATTGCTGCGAGCTTGGTTCTTTGGGGGGGTGCAGTTGTTATGTGCTGTGCACCCTCCCCCACAGTGTGATCTCAACTATCTGTGCAACCCCCTCAGCCGCTCCCCCACAAAATAACGAGGCAGCCTGCTTCCCTAAAGATTGCAGCCCAGGACAGCGTACTGAGTCCAGCTGGGCACTGTGTGTCAGCAAGTGAGCTGTGTGCGAGTGAGTGTGTGGATGACAGAACCGTCACTGGCATGGCTGCACCCGCGGGGCATGTGTCCACACTCTGGGGTTTAGTTGTGAAGTACAGGCTGACCCACGCCCTTCCCAGGGGGAGCCCTCTATTTTCCTACCTGGGGAGGTTAACTTGCTGCCTGGGCAGGGCTGGCTGAGTGGATCTGGAAAGCATCCATCCTCGCATGTTTATTTCTCCTCAGGGCCAATCCACTTAGAAACAGTTCTAATGAATGCGGAAGCATTCTCCCTGATTGTCCTCGGTATTTTTATTTTCACCGGAGGGCGGCTGCACTGCACTCAGGATGAGGCGTCAGACTGCTCTCACGACTGTTCTCACACGCTCTTTGCACCCCTCCCAGCACCCCGCCAGGTTCCCATAGAAGGGGAAGGTCACTTGATGAGTTTGTCCATGATCGTCTTTTCTGCCCCTGGGCTTGCTCTGCCTTCCTAAGGTCCTAACACCACCCTGACCATCAGCAGGTAATCACTAAGTGTCAAACACAGTGCCGCCAATGGCCTGGCCACCCAGGAATGACCTCGGGCGCTCCGTCCATCCACTCCAACATCATAGCATGGAGCCAGGCCAGCCCGAGTGCTCCTCAGAGGGAGAAAAGTGACCCCAAGACCCAATGTAAAGCAGAAGAATTCAGTACCTGGATGCAGCCAGACCTGCACCTGCTGATTCTGCAGCAGCAAAGGAACACAGCTCCTCAGCCTAAGTGACTTGCAGCTGGTTGCTTTTACCTAAAAGAAAACCCTAGAAGCATCATGACAAGAGCGACTGAGGACTGACGTCTGTCACTCATTCACCAGAGCACAGGGAGAGCTACAAAGGGTACATTGGAACATTTTCCCAGAGCTGAGGACAATGCCTCCACACCCAGAACCTTGCCAGAGACCCTGACTTGACAGTGAGGCCTGGGCTACGACCCGCTGCAGGCCAAACGACTCGGTGACCCTGTCAGATGACCACTCCCCTAAAGCCAAACCAAACTCACAGCCGAGGCGTCCACTCCAGCTCATAGCGACCCTATACCACGGTGGGGTCACCCTGTGAGTCTCTGATGGTCACTCTCTACGGG